TGCTGAAACAGTCTGTATGGTGGGAAAAGAGGGATGAACACAGAGGGCTGGTCACCGAACAGATTGACCAAGGGCTGCAGGTAAGTGCTGATAGGTGTTGGCAAACTGCTGAAGCCATGGGAACATGGACAACACGCCTTAGAGCAAGGAGGGAAGGAATGTCACTGGCTGGCTGTGCAGGAGGCAAACGGGTTAGTGAGTCACAGCCAACGAGGACCCACTGCAGGGACACCAAGTCAAAAACAGTGGGGTTTTCAATCAAGCAAATGAACTTGTAATAAAGATCCCATTGCTGAAAATCAAGGGCAGACAAGATGAAAATAAAGCACATCCAACACAACACTGGGAGTAATTAACTCCAGCAACAGTGCGACAGAAATTGTGTCCTGTTCCCCGGGCTGGAACTGCTCATCTTGCCAGCCATGAGGTCTGCGAGACACGAGCTCTGCTCTGCCCTCAGCCAGCTCTACATACACGGGTGCATCCAGCCTGGGCTGCTCCATGCTGCCAGCTGCTGCTGCATGAGTTTTCAACCACCAACAACAGGAAGGGAATTTTAGATGTGTCAGAAGTTTTGCCCCAGGCCAGGGCCCACATGGGTGCAGTGGCCAGGCTGGAGGTGCCTGACATCCTGCAGCACAGATGTGGGGACAGGCGCCTGGGGCTGCCCCCAGGAACAGTCCCTGGCACCCTGCGTGTTCCTGGGAAAGGGGCATGGCAGGGTCCCTCAGGTGTGTCCTACAGGGACAATTCCCAGGCAGAGGAACTGGCAGGATCCCTCAGGGGACATTTCCCAGGCACAGGGCTGGCAGGATCCCTCAGCTGAGTCCTACAGAGACAATTCCCAGGCACAGGGCTGGCAGGATCCCTCAGCTGAGTCCTACAGGGACAATTCCCAGGCAGAGGAACTGGCAGGATCCCTCAGGTGAATCCTACAGGGACAATTCCCAGGCACAGGGCTGGCAGGATCCCTCAGGTGTGTCCTACAGAGACAATTCCCAGGCACA